ATAATAATAATAATAATATTGCTGTTGATGTTGTTCATTATTATCATATCTTTATCTTTTGTCTTGCTGCACCAGTATAATAAGTAATCCTGTCACAAGGTCCAGTCTACTGGAGTTTAAGGCTGCGTGAGTTAACCGAAGACTCAAACAAAGACGTCTTCTACCAGGGAAGTACACGTCGGAGAGTTTGAAATTGGCATCGAATCAAAGCCTTCCTGGACACTGAGGGATGAATCAACATGACATAATCTGTGTTATCCAGTTCTTTCGCAGAAAAGTCAAAATATGATAAAAGTATACACATGTAGTTTTAAACGAAAAAATAAACCAGCTGTTACTCGAATTAACTTACGTACCTTGCCGATTTACCCTACCCTTCAGCAGCTCAGGAGACATGGCATTTAGTTGTCTTTTGAACTTACAGTACATATCATTAGGGTTACTGCATACATTTTAACTAAAGGACAATTTGATGGAAAAGCATAAAAATGACGAAGGGTCTATTGCAGTTGTTCGGTTTGGTAGGCTACTATGCCGTTCACGCTTATAACGCGTCTATTCTCAAGTCGTGAAGTAGCCTCCACTTTTCTTTTTAGAAAATTTCCCACACAACTACACGTTAGCTCTGACAGACGGGGTCAAAGCCACTAGCCCGAGGAATAATATAAGTTGTGGAAAATATTTACAAGCACAGCGTAATAACGGCCTCCTACGTCTTTGCCATTAGAGTCACTCAGAACAAATAGTTTGTATTCTAGCTCGACGTAACCACTTCACAGAACGTTCCAGACATAAAGCGTAAGGCGTATTACGTTTTACACATTTCCTGGGAACTCTGCGGGCTCAGCATGGTGTGTTTCTTTGCATGTTTATAATAGCCTATTTATCGTGAATAAGCCAAATAATCATTTGTAACGCAAAAAGCGTGTTCTTTCGCCCCTCGCTGTGAGGGGTACGTCATCTTCGTGTCTGTCAGCCGACCCCTGACCCGTGCTGTCAACAGAAACCCAGCCCCCCAAAAAAGGAGACCTGACCAAAAGCTGACGCCGCGCGCAGATTACGATCTGCTTAAGTCAATAATTGTTCAGAACATACCCAAAAAATGATAATTTCGCCCGCCTTAATTTCCTCCCAGAGAGAGAGTTGACGTTACAACTATTGTGTGCGCATAGATTCATATTTATCATTATTTTTCACAGCGCATCAGAAATTCGGATTTTGGCGGCTTGCTGGGGGTTTTAAGCAACGCGCTCATGCATGATGGAGCCAGGAAATGTGGTTTAGTCAAAGACGTTATTGTACCTTCCGCCAAGAAGAGCTACGGGAGGTGATCCTATAACATTAGCGAGGAATAATTAGTGACACAAGATTTTGATGTGAACTGTTTCAAGTGTGACCCTATCACAGCAGGAGGAACATCTTGACTGTTCACTCGTAGGGAAACGCTTAGGCTGGCGGTCTTTTTTTAAGGAATGCGCACACTTGTATTTATCTCATTTCGGAAAGGGAAAAGAAAAGTGAACTAATGGGTGGCTTGAGCTAAAGAGCCCCCCACCCTCCTGTCCTTCCACCCCCTGCTGGGACGATTATGGCTTTGTGCTATGCAGACACAAGTCTGTGCACACACTGCACAATACAATATTGCACAAACCGCAATTTCACATGAAGATGTTTCGATGGCAAGTTTTTTGTTGCTGCTGCTGTTGTTGTTGCTGTTGCTGTTGTTGTTGTTGTTGTTGTTGTTGTTGTTGTTGTTGTTGTTGTTGTTGTTGTTGTTGCTGCTGTTGTTGTTGTTGTGTTTTCTGTTTTTAATTGAACCAGAGTCTTTCGTGAGCATGTGAACGTGAAAGAAACTTTTTAAATATATTAGTTCTAGCTAAACATTCAGAAATTCGTAATGAAACAAAAGAATACTGTAAAAGGAAATACGTACATAATAAATTCATAAATCTAAGCCAATATGTATCAACTAAGTAGATATGAATGACAAAGTAAGCCTAAAGAAATGATTGTGTTTTGATATTAATGAATTGACTTATCTTCATAATGCATAAACCAATAAGTAAAGAAAGAACGAAAGAAGATATGTGAAAAAAGCAACTGATCAATCAATCAATAACATGTCCATTTCACGATGTCAAAGTCTTTCCGTGTCAGACAAAATTGCAAAATAATATTGTAGAACGTATTTATAATTATTATACGTCTCTTTGTTTGTACAATACATGAGTTTAGAGTTAATGACACAACGGCCACTGCAAAGTAATGTAAATTGTGGGATGGAAACTGATATCTGCTGGGTTTTTCTAAGTTGAAAAAGCGCTGACTACGCACACACACACACACACACACACACACACACACACAAAAGTAACTTTCAATAGTAACCCTTTTTTTGTTTTTGTTTTTTAATTAAACGGTGTATTTTTATTTTTTTAATTTTAGTTTTTAGTAAGAGTTTTATGGCACTTACCACACAATAGGTCATATAAGTGCTGAAGATTAGAGGTGTTACAAGAGAGTAATACACGAAAAAGAAGGAGTGGAGATAAAGATAGTAGGTGTTGGATAGAGGAAAAGGAGCAAACCACACCCAAGTACCCGCCAATCACCAACTGCTTTAAAAAGGGGACAGAAAGAACTGTTAGATACTTAACTGTTCACTGGGTGTTCTTAACCGCGATACCGTAGCCTACCCGTCACATCCTCATGCACAGAACTTGGTGCAATCTCATAGATAGAACGTCCCCGCTCAACGAAGTGACAAGGACTGGAGATATTTGAGGGAAATATAACGCTAAAAACGTACGGTTTTACTGAGGCTCAAAGGAAAGGGAATATCGAAAATTCAGTTGTATCCCTGTGTTTATCAACCAGTTTGTGGAAATGATTATACTAACAACATGTTTTTGGTGGACATTCTTGATTTTTTTTTTCTGGTTTGCCTTTTTTTCTGATTTGCCTTTTTTATTTTTTGAATTTCTAGAAACATTTCTATTACCTTATGTGCTCCTTGTAAACCGTTGGTCAAAACTGTAAACCGCAGGCAACAACTGCCTTTATCTATCTATCTATCTATCTATCTATCTATCTATCTATCTATCTATCTATCTATATCTCTCTATCTCTCTATTTATCTATCTATCCCGTGGCTAATCATAACATTATATTTAATTAACTGTCTACATAAACCTTGTTCGCAGCTTATTTTGGAATATAAAATGTATTTGCTGCTACTGGTAGTCAATTTACTCTCCAAATATTATTCGTCCTTTTCTGCGAATCAACAAAAAGCGAAGAGCTCGGCGCTTCAACTGATTCAACCTATTAGGCTTGAAGTGCTATCAACGTTTCACAGCTGACCACGTTTCAATAGAAAAAACGGGCGTGAGGTTCAAGTGCCGTTGAGCTCAGTTCATAAATAACACAAGGTATATTATTGGCCGCAGCGAATGAGCATAATGTAGGAATACTTTCGCGTGGAGACGAGAAAACGGGTGCTTGGGAGAGCAAACATGAGCTTGGCTTCGCAACAGAAGAGGCATTTTGTGAAAAGATTTAACCGTCGAATTCAAAAATTGTAAGCGCAATGAGATTCCCTTAATAACCTGTTCTTTCAAACCTTAGAAACATCAAATTTGACAACTCCAAGATGCCATATGAGTCAAATGTTCTTCATAGACTATAGCTAGGTCCATTAAAGTTACCCGAAACGAACTGTTATTTTCGCCATAGAATAAAGTCGTCTCCTTTCAACAACGTGGTCCCGGTGGCACGTTGCAACTTGTACTGAGCGGAAACTCGTCATAAGCTGCAAGTAAGGCCACACAAAGCTTGAAAACAAAAAAATGACTAACAAAGATGAGTGCCAGATTCTCCACAAAAGGCAAACCCTAGTTAGCAAAATGAAAAGTAGAAAAATACAATACTTCGGTCATTTAAAACGCCACCAGACTATTGTGAAGTATAAACTCGAAGGTAAAATGTGGGCCAAAACGGCCAAGGATGAACAAAGAACAATATTGACCGATAACATAAAAGCATGGACTGGCTAATGACCATAACAGAATGTATAGCGACAGCGAGCGACCGTAAGCACAGGCAGGTCATTGCACGTCTACGTCTGAGCCAGAGATGACACCTCCAGGTATCCAGGTATTGCCATATATCTCCTCACAGTAGACATATTCACTTTGGGACGAGGACTATCTCTTTTACTACTGTGTTTGGGAACCTTAAGAGAGAAAAAGGTTGTCGTGGAAGGGAGGGGGTGGGGTGTCATCAAGAGTCAAATACACATGTGCAAATTTTCAAGCATCCAATCAAACTAGGTCAATTTATCTTACACAAAATCGAACGCTTTTTGAGCGAACGTCAGAAACATTGATCCATCCTCCAATGTGATTCTGAGCAAGACCCTGTACATGTACTTTGGTCAACTGCTTGAAACCTCCTTTAAATGTCGAATGAAATAGATTTTGCCGGCTACAACCTGGTGCTGTTTTGTACAGGGAACCCAAATCTTATCAATGTCAGTCCTACTGTTGTACATCCTTTTCTATGCCTGAGTACTGGTTGTTGTTCATTTTTATGGGGTGGAGGTTGGTTGTTGGTTGGGTTTTTTTGGGGGGGTAGTTAATTATTTTTTTTGGGGGGGTGGTTTTGTTTGTTTGTTGTTTTTGTTGTTTTTGTTGTTGTTGTTGTTGTTGTTGTTGTTGTTGTTGTTGTTATTGTTGTTGTTGTTTAATTTATTTTTTGTTTCTGTTTTTAGATATGTTTTTACACTCCCCATAGACATACTCTAAAACATTTAGGGGGCAGGTTTCCACTCTGCCTATCAGGTCCAGCCCGGCCTAAGAGGGATACAACAACATCCCCGCTGAAAGACAGAGATATGGGGTAAAAATTCTCCCCACTTGGGACTCAAACCCATGGTTTTGTCTCTGCGAAACAACTAAACGTCTAAACGCAACACCGCCGATGTCGGTTGGGGACTATTGCGGTCAAAGCATTGAAAGTGGTCCAGTATGGGCTTTGTATGATACATCATCTCAGTGAACAACAGACATAGCTAGACCATCGATGAAATAACTTACGAACCCTGGGATCGAAACCGTGGTGGATGGTTGACGGTTACTCTGGTGTGGTTTGCGGCTTTTTTCATATCAAACATATTATATGGTCCTTATTTCTCTCCTTTCTTTTTTCCCCGTTTGTTACTCTCTAGTAACACCTGTATTCTTCGGCACGTATATGCCCGTAGTATGTCGGAAAACTCTTACAAAAGTCATCGAACCATGTCTTCACCGTTCAAAAACGAAGAGCTTGGCCTTTTCACCACAAACTCAGCCTTGGAGCATGAGACTCACCAACTCCTGAAAAGTGTGGACAGAATAATGATTTTTTTTTAATGCAAATGTTCTTACGACCCAATCGACACAATTTAGGTCACTCAGGAGGCTGGCTTCCAGCCATGCCTGTCAACCCAGGCTGAGAGGGATACAACATCCCAGTTGAGAGACTGAGTTACTCGATAAAATATTTTTTTTTCCCATTCGGGAATCAAACTCGGTCTCCTGCGTGCAACAAAGACACGCCTAACCGCCACACCACAAACGCTGGTACACAGAATTAATGCTAAAACGGAGAGACAGGCACGGACGAATAGTAATTCTGATGCCAAAAAAAAAGAACTTTAAGCATATTTTCAGCGTCTCTCGTGTATGGCCCAAAAACCCCCCGGTAAAGGACACGTCTTTGTTGTGCATATTACCTAGTTAAGATGTAATATGTCAAGCAAAGTATTTCTTTTTCAACAATTATTTTGCTCTAGCGCTTAAATCATCCCC